TGTACAAATCTTTTAGAGACACCCTGTATAATACTTGTATAGTCCCCATTTCTACGTTGTATCTGATCTCATGCCTGAAAAAAATGTTTCATTGATTACCTGGTGCTCCCAACAAAGCTGCATGTAAAAGGTTCAAAACATTAAACATTTGAAAAAATATTCATACCTTGACGTGTTAGTTTTGATTACCTTTGAATCAAATGTTTTTCATGGCTAAAGTTACTGTTAGATTTACGAATGACAAGAAGTGTTTGTAAACGAAGTATTTATCTATGTCTCCAAAATCCCTTTGAAAACCCTCATATTCATAACAATTTCACGTGACCCAATTGACAGTTGTCCGGAATTTTTTGTCTGACAAAATTGCGCAGTGCATATTATGTTAATGGCAGATATGTATATATATCCGTTTATTTAGTCATAAAAAACTAATACATTGTACATAAAACACATAAATATGTCAAACAACATTACTACATACATACTATACAATAAAAATAAATAAAAATAATGTTCCAGGAGTAGAAAAGCCGTTTTTAGTCCTGGTTCATATCTTGCATCAGAAAAGAGCAATAACATAGGACTGTGGAACTTCGCATGATATATGCTACTTTCCATCATCATTATGTGAATAATCAAACACATATTATTATTCATTTTAGTTGTTTTTAGATGTTCAATTTGAAAGCAATATAGTATTTTTAATTCCTCCTGTAAAGGTATATTTATATGTATCATTATGTGTAATAACTGTGCTTGAAATTGTTGAGTGGACACATACAATCAAAAATCTATCCTGCAACAGGAATGATGATACTGTATGTAATTTTAGTATTTGAAGTAACAAATATATGAATATGTGAACCATGATTTAGTCCAGATCACAATTTTTCCGTAGTTTTCATTTATATTTTCCTTAACTGTCTCAAAATACAGGGTGTTTCAAAAAAACCTAACCCCCTTGCTCGGGTAGGTAGAACTTCGCAAAATAAGTTGGGTTTGCTCAGTAAAAAAATGTCGTAACGCCATCCGTTTTCAAGATACATGGTGTTGAAAAAAATATTTTTTTTACCATTTTTTACGATCATGTTGAAACTACTGGCAACATTGTAATGCAATTTTGTATGGATGTGTTTCAAAAGCTGACACATCGCATGAAATCATTTTTATATCTGACACTCATAGAGGGCGCTAGTTACACGATTCGTACCGAGTACTTTTAAACATAACTTCTTTGAGGTTAGATTTTTCAGTCCAAATTCAATGTGAACTTGAACACCATTCAATTTCACACTAAAAGGGTTCTCTTGGTAAAACTTGATACGGTGTAAGTATAACACTGATGCTAGTTGATAGTATAGTATTAGAGTAGAGTAGAGTAGATTTATTTGATCACGTTACAATTTGAGATGTTTGTGACAGTCATGATTTAGGTAGAATTTTAGAATATTGAATGAGCAGTAATACAATATTATACAGATTAAAAATTTCAAGGACACAGATTCGTTATAGTTTGAAAACAAGATTTTAAAAACTTTACTTTAAAATTTAACACACAGATACAAGTATTTATATAGACAGTATAATACAAAACAATACAAAATGTTGTCACCCTAGCACTTCACTTATGGAATCAGTGGAGCCCCCCCCCCCATAGGACAGCGCCATAGGAGATGACTGTGTGAAAAAGAGAAAAGTATGCCATTCTTTGAATCTCTAGACTTGTCAATCTACTGAGTTGCCTAAGTAAAAAAAGCACACTCGCTAATTTCCTCTGAATAAAATCGATGTGGTTGCGCCATGAAAGTTTAGTATCAAGTACAATTCCCAGGAAATTTTCATTTGCAGTAATTTGTAGTATTGTGTTTGTTGAAAAAATTAGTTTTTGTTGTCTTGATCTATTATCAGAGAATGGGCTTATATCACAAAAAAAAATTATTTCATAATTTGATAGAACTCACCCAAACTAGCTCACCACCGCAAACCGTTTCTTGCTGTGAGCTCCCTACGTTTTATAAAAAATTATTGAAATCCCCGATTTTTCGGACCTCTGAAAACGAGGCGATGATGTGACGTCAAAACCCTAATACTGAAACAAGACTTTTCCAGACAGAGATGAATGATACATGATTTCTGACCGAGTGAATTAGCGCGAGATCACAGTTGAAAGAATTAATATATCAGTTGCCTCAGTCTCCGTCGGGCGTTTGGTATTTTCTTTTAACTATGGCGAGATGAGGTTTCTACGTCATAGGAGGGTCCGTTTTCAGAAGGTACTATTATTTATGTCCAAAAATAAAACATTCCAGTTGATTTTTCGATCGAATTTTGTCGTCAATCATTATTTATGTATAAAAGGATCATAATGAACATGGTTTGAGTTAAAAGTTCTACTAAGGTGTACACGCCCATTGTAGGAGTTATGACGATTTATCAAGTTGGTGTCATCCGCAAAGAGAATGCAATTATTTTGGGGTGAGACAAAATCACAGAGGTCATTTATATAGACTAAAAACAGGAGTGGACCCAAAACTGAGCCTTGGGGTACCCCATGCTTGATAGGGATAGTTTCAGAGCTGGTATTATTTGCCCAGACATCACTGACATCTGTTTTCTAGGTATGATTTTATTAATGAAAGAGGTGCCCCCCTGACTCCATAGTAGTTGAGTTTCTCGATCAAAATATCGTGAGAGACACAGTCGAAGGCCTTGGTGAGATCACACAAAGTTACCATTGTGTGATAACCACCTTCCAGGCCCTCGACTATGTTGCTCACTAATTTCTGCATTGCCTGTATCTCTCTTATCTCTCTTCTCTTCGGACGGAAACCAAATTGATTTTCATTCAAGTAAAACTTAGCTTCAAAATATTTCAACAGTCTGGCCTTTAGTAATTCCTCAATTATTTTGGAAAATATTGAAACTATACTGATTGGTCTAATTGTCTGGTGCAGAGATATCTCCTTTTCTTTTGAGGATAGGAATAAATTTCGATAGTTTAAGTACATTTGGGAATTGGCCAGTGGAGAACATGAGATTTATTAAGGAGGTCATTGGTCCCACTAAAATATCTGAGGATTCTTTGACGATACCTCTATGCAGGCTATGGCGGCAATCAGTTGACATGGAATTTTTCAAATTATGGATAACTGAATATACCTCTGCTTCGTCCACAGGCTTCAGGAAGAATGAGTCACATGGTGCTGGGAAGTTTTTGAAATTGTTTAATTGGTTCACATCCAAGGTTGGTAGTGTTTTGATAATGTGTTCTGCTACATTTCCATTTTATTGCGCTCTTGGTTTATGATTTCCCAAGATGCTTTGAAGATATTTTCAGATTTTATTAGGTAGTTATCATGGGCCTGTTTTTTTGCTTTTTTAATTTCTAATCTATAATTCCGCTTCAAAATTTTATAGATTCCAAGATACATAGGATTACCACTTACTTGTCCTACATGTTGGTATTTTTTCAGATTATCTCTGTTTTTTGAGGTTATCATTCGTATTCGTATATCGCTACTTCAAAGTTGGGAACCAACTTCCCAGAAGTCGAAACTTGTGCGGGGTTAGGAAGAGCGGGACCTACAGCTTATAGTGGAATCCGAACCACTTCTAGGGCATCATTGAACCACTTAATTTTGGAGCCAGGTTGGCTTTTATTGACCTTCGTATGAAAAGGAAATGCTTGTTTCACAAGAGTTTCATATGTGGTGACCATGTGGGTGGCAATGCAATCCACTGATTGCTCTTCCTCATCAGACTCATTATTATAAAAGACTGTTACCTATTTATTGAAAACCAATGAGATTATTTCAATGTGGGAGTTATCAATTGAACAGAGTCGTGAAAAAAAATGAATGAATTTAACTAAAACATATAATATTTCAGGCAGTGAGTGTTCCAAATGTAATCAGTGAGTGCTCCAAATGTGTTAGTCGCAAATTGTTTTGTCTGAGTCACCTTTGGAAAACTGACATTTATCGATAGCCGAGACACTAATGTCAATAATATCGATTCATTGTTGATAAATACGTTGTTTGATAATCAGAATGTACTCAAATGCTGAATGTTGTTTAGCGGTTACGCGTTATGCCGAAAGGTCTCCGAGAAGAAACCTACCGAATAAAATGGTAATGTGAGACCAAGAAAAATTAATTCTGGTAGGCTTAGAACAATAAGGTCCATTCGGAAAGAAAATATTATTTTAAATTTAGTTGATCAGGATCCAACAATTAGCGTTAAGAATATGGCAAGGCAAACAAATACGTCATCTGCAAGTACTTGGAGAATACTAAAGGAGCAACAGCTACATCCTTATCATTACTGACAAGTCCAAGAGCTCTTGCCAGACGATTTACCAGTCAGAGTGAATTTTTGTGAAACTTTACAAGCAATTTTTTGAAATGTATCCTTTTCACCGACAAGGAATGTTCAATTCCCATAATGGACACTACTGGTGTGATGAAAATGCACATGTTAAAAGGGTATCACATTACCAACACTCGTTTTAAGTTAATGTTAGGGCAGCAACTTTCGGTAACAATTTGATTGGTTATCACCTTCTAATAAATAGATAATTGTTTTCTATAATACTTATTCCAATACCAGAATCAGCTATCAGAACACATCCATTCAAAATTTCATCACAATGTTGCCAGTAGTTTCGACATAATCGTAAAAAATGTAAAAAAAAATAATTTTTTCAACACCTTGTATCTTGAAAACGGATGCCGATACGACATTTTTTTACTGGGCAAACCCAACTTATTTCGCAATTTTCTACCTACCCTAGCAAGGGGGTTAGGTTTTTTTGAAACACCCATATATTTTTAGAATATTTTTTTCATTCAGTTAATCTAAAATTTAATTTCTGAAGAATATATTTTTACATTTGCACTCCTTCAAAGTAGAAGACTACAAAATAAATGAAAATATTATTGCATTTAATTTTCCATAGTTAATTATTATAAAGTGAAAACAATCAAAGCTGATCAACTCACCAGAATAATGGGGAAGTCCGGGTAGTCCCGGGTAATGTGTCGGATAAATACCAGGTATGGGAGGCATTGGAGGTGGGGCCGTGCTTGGGGTATGCGGCGGTAAGGGAGGCGGAGGCGGTTCAGGCTTGACTTCCTCAATTTTCTCGTTACTGCTTAGAGATGAAAGACTCATTCTGTCATCATCCTTCTCCATTTTGAATTCTTTCTTGAAATCAAACCTCTCGATAGGGCTGTAATGATTTTCTATGCTTTCGCCAGTAAGTAGTTCGTCCTCACTCGATGAAATGTCACTGCCAATTTTGTTCATCTCTATGTGTACTTTTTTCAACAGAGCCGTTGTCTCAAGAGCTTCACGTTGTCGTGCCACAACAGCCTAGAATTGGAATTATATTTCAGTCTATAACGAGTGACTCACGAAGAATTTGAATAATTAGGTGCAAGATATATTGCTGGGTTAGAAAACATTTCACTTTTATGAAATGTATTTACACATTTGAAAAATTATGATTTTCTGTGACCAACTGAAACATTGGTCTTTCAAGAAGTGTAATTCGCGATAGAAAATAAGGGTACGCCACCTATCGAGGTTTTTGAATGCTGTCATATGGGTCTGTTTACTTTGTTTTCTTGGTTCACATTTGTTTTTGTTTGTACTTATTGGTCACATCCATCAAAACAAACCGCTCAGAAGTGTTCAAGTTGTTGTCGACAGGTGGGGCTAAGTGTTGTTTATTATCGCGAATAGAAAACTGAATAAGATATCATATTCCTAATTTGAAATTTTCAGTTGTTACAAGTCACACGACAAAACATCCACGTTGGATTGCCGGTAGGTGAGTTCGATTCCCACCACGACCGCAGAAATTTTTCTGATGTCGTAAGGGGGCAACCAAATGATGGGTAAGAACAAAAGAACAAACTCTCAGTAAAACACCCAAAAATCACCCAACTATCATAAGAATCAGGGCAAATTTTAGATTCACAATTGAAAAAGCAACAGGAAGGTAATATGTGTACAACTTGTAATACCTAACCCCGATATCTGAGATCTGGACAATGATAAAAACTCTGGGAAAAAGAAATACACCGACGACTATAGTTTGTCGATTACATTCACAAATCATAAAAACAATTAAGTTCGCATTTAAGGTGTTTGCCGCCCGAGTACGGATACAATACCGCCGCAATTTTTTAGTTATTAATGATTCATACAAAAATATTGATATATTTTTTTAATGTACACCTAACAAGGAAATCCATTTACAGGGTGGGAGAACACAACAAAATTCAAGGATTAATCCAGTGAATACAAATGAAAATAAAAAGAAGAAATGGAACATAATCGCTAGTTAGGTCTGAAATTGATCTATATACAGGGTGATCCACGGTGGATGGCATATTAGAAGTATCTGGAGAACGAAAGGACAGAACATTCTGAAAATTGGGATGCTTTGATAATTGAACATTCTCTATCCATCAAAAATATTTTCATCTATACAGTGTTGCCATTTCTATCAGAAACAACTAACAACTTTCTTTTTTAAATGAAACACCCTGTATTTTATTGCATTTTTAGATTCTTCCTGAAGAGCAGATTTCATCAATGCATCACACTTGGGATCTAGCAGGAATGATTAAAGAGATATAGGGTGTTCAAAATCGAGATTTTTCAATTTTAGGATTTTTTTGTGTGGAAACTATTCATTATCGATCAAAACGGCTCTCATAACCCTATCTCAACTTCCGATTCACTATCTACTGACATTTGATTGGAACAGATACAGGGTGATCAGAATTCTAAATCATGAAGCACACTGTATTTTTTCGAATTGAATTCCAGTAGATAGTGAATCGAAAGTTAAGATAGTGACATATGAGCCGTTTTGATCGATCATGAATAGTTTTGACACAAAAAAAAATTAAAATTGAAAAATCTCGAGTTTGAAGACCCTATATCTCTGTAATCATTCCTGCTAGACCCCAAGTGTGATACATTGATGAATTCAGTTCTTTAGGAAGAAACTAAAAATGCAATAAAATACAGGGTGTTCCGTTTGAAATAACAAAGTTGCTAGTTGTTTCTGATAGAAGTGGCAACACTGTATCGATGAAAATATTTTAGACGGATAGATAATGTTCAATTATCAAAGTATCCCAATTTTCTGAATGTTCTGTCTTTTCGTTCTCCAGATACTTCTAATAGGCCATCCACCGTGGATCACCCTGTATATTGTAAGTACTATTTCAAGTCCTCTTTTAAATTTTTAATATGGTTTTCATTACTTCTCATACCCCTTGAACTATTAGTGTCGGAGTTAATATGATCTACCCTATCTGAGCTACCCTCAAACATGATCCAGTGGTATTATTCCCTCAGGATGACTAGGATCGTGACAATATTTACCAATGTATTTATCATACAATGGGCACCAAATGAGAAGCTAGGTAACTTCACAATAGTGCAATGTTTTAATTACTGGTAGAATTGAATATTTTTTGCATTTGCCTCATCATCTGATGAAGAATTACTAGTCTGTAGTATTATCACTATAACTGCTGGTCGATTGCAGTAACTCATTGAGGCGTATTTCAATAACTTAATATTCATATGATTCATTTGAAATTTTGAACTACACAAACGCGCCAGAATGGATAATCATAAAAGTGCATGGATCTCATATTTGATAACAGTTATAACCTCAAATTACGAATACAATATTGATCCACCTATTTACCTAGTTTGGATGGCACTGAATTGGTGGCTTATCGGATTGTTCAACAGGTGAATTAAGCTACAAAACATATCGTCATCACGTTTATTTTATGTGAATTTAGCAACAGCAAATTTTCCACCACTGCTATTGATGGACCAAATTGGTGAAGTCCGCAACACAGTATAGGTGTCTTGACGATGACTTTGACTATGAGTCAGTTAGCATGCAATTTTACATCATGATTGATAATCCGGCCATAAGAGAAACATTAAAGTCATTACCTGTTCCAAAGCATGCCGATGACACTCCAAATAAATTTCTTTAGATAGAAACGGTGACGGCGGTATCGATAACGGGTTACTCTCCTCGTCTTGCTCCAAATCTAAATCCAGATCCATATCTGGGGCAGGTGGGTTGATTGGCATGTCACTTAAAGATATACTGGAACGGTCATCGTCGTCACTATCGAGTGAAGTAGGAATAGGAACGTGTTTTGGTAGTTTATCAGAGGTTTTGGATTCATCATCAGAGTCAACACCAAGAGCGAGGAAAGAAGGTGCCATACCACCCGATCCCTTTTCTTTCAAGAGAAGTGCTATTCTAGTGTCAAGGTCTAATGGTTTATTTTCTTCTTCAACCTAAAAGTCATAAATTATATAAATTATGTAACTATTCGTAATATAGAGAGCTGGGTAAATTTTTTGAAAGGAGACCGCACGTTTTATAGGGAAAATTGGCCTCCTGTTGAATTGGTTGAATTTTTGATATGTTATAGTCCAAGACATTATGAACAAAATGTCCGAATACCAAACTGTTCTGATGTCCAGTTTTGGCGCTAGAAGCCACTGAAGTCTCAATGTTGTTTTTTTTTCTCCTGATAATTCTTTTAATTGAAGCTATTATTATATTATTTTTTGATAGGAGAAGTTTTCTTTAATATTGTTGCTGATGGTCAAGAATTATACAGTGTGTTCCTGTTCCAGCAATTATGGGGGAGATAAAATATGATACTATCTAATAATTCATTAAAAAAGGATATTGTCACGTGTCGCATTTAAGGTTATGAAACAGTTTTTCCAATAAAAACATTTATTATTATTATTATTTAATGCTCACTTAGTATTTAAAGAGGAGATATGAAACGTTATCAACTCGCTCTATAACAGTAGCAGATATTATCAATTATATCAGTATTCATTGGCATCTTTAGATGATTATTCCTTGTAACTTCGTCAAAAAATGCTGATTATACCTAGTATAATAATCATTTCAAATGCATGTCAATATATTTCAGATATCACATCCTCGAAAATCGTACAATTTTTTTCAAAAATCATCAATTGATCATCCTAAGTTGATGAGGCAGGATCGCAGATATTAAATAGTTTGTGAACTTTATTACTTATTGATGCTATATATACGAACTGTTTTAAGAGGTAAAACGCAAAATGACATTCCTTCTCAAACCTTGACAAATAGGAGATTATTACTATAAAATTAATATTGAATATTAAAATATTTTTTTGATTCAAATATCATTCAGCTGCTGTTATATGGAACAGGTTGATATCTTCGTGTATCTTCTCCTTATACAAAGGGTGAACATGGAATTCGAATAAGCGTATTTTCTGATTGAAATACGATATTTCTCGATTTCTCATTTCTCAATATTCTTTCCTATATAATGAATGAATATCATTATTATCTTGAACAATAATAACTGGAACACATTGTATAATTGTTGACTAGTATCAACAAAATATTGATGAATACTTCTAGTAGTGATTTATCTTATCAAAAAATATTATAATAAAGGCTCAAAGACCTTTATCTACAACTATGGAGTAATTCATACATTGCTTACTCGATTTTCAACATTTAATGACAGACATTATTGTGATGAATCGAGTAATAAGAGTGATAATGACAGTAGGATGGCGTAATAATCTGACATTCCATCGTCTTGTCAAATTCAACTAGGTAGGTATTCGTTCTACTAGTTCTACCAAAACGTTTGTGAAATACACGCAAATTCAAAAGACGCACGGTTATCATAGTTTTAATCACCTCAATTCTACAAATACACGGAAAAATGGGAATTCACTGTTTTTCATCCTCAACAGTGACTACCATCATGAGTAACCATAACCATGAAATAGGACTTGACACTTGACTTGACAGTTGCAGATTGTCTCACACATCTTAGCTCACCCTTATGAACCATGGAACTTCATTGTTGATAACTAGCGTCTAGAGATAGGGTACTACAATTAATCATCGCGGTGGGGGAACTCTACAGAGGAAGCAAGTTAATGAATAATCTGCAATTGCATCATTCATTTTACAACTGAAAAGTGAAATGGCATATAAAAACTGGTAAGATTGACTGATTGTGATTGCACGACTTTTTCCTGTTAATAAAAGTCAGATCCAACATTGTTTATCATATTTTCAGAATCAAAATTATTGAAATAAGCTGTTTGTTGATTGAAATTTCTGTCAATAAGTTTTCGATTGAATAAATGAGTATTTCAAATCAGATTTAGAGATTTTGCAAAAAAATAGCCTTCATTATTTCCAAAGATATATTTCTGAATTCTCAGAGTTTAGTTTGATATTTGAATAGTTGTAGATAAAGTATAGTATTCTACTCGCACATAATGACTATTACCCACTCAGATGATTACAGCACTCGCCTTCGGCTCGTACTGCAACTTTCATCTTCGTGGGTAATAGCCATCATTATGCGCTCGTTGAATAATATACTATTATTTATCAGGAGAAAAGAAATCAAGATTGAGACTTCAGCGGCCTCTAGCGCCAAAACTAGCCATTAAAACAGTTTGGTATTTGGACATTTTGTTCAAAATGTCTTGGACTGTAACATATAAAAAATTCAGCCAATTCGACAGAAGGCCAATTTTCCCTATAAAACGTGCGGTGTCCTTTCATTGTTTTTTTTTTTATAGAATATTCAGCAGAAATTTCAAGCTTTCGACATGAATATCTGGACTTCTTGTATTCTATTTGAAAAAGATCTAAAAGGTGATCCCCATTTAACAAATGAAATACGAATTTGGAATACATCAATCCAATTTTGAAAAAATATATACAGGGTATTTAAAAAAAAGTGCCTCGTTGCTAGGGTAGGTAGAACATTGCACAGTAAAAAATTTCATAAGGGTATCCGTTTTCAAGATACAAGGTGTTGAGAAAAGAATGTTAATACACATTTTTTATGATTATGTCGAAACTACTAGCTACATTGTAATGACATTTTGTATGGATATGTTTTGGAAGATGACACATCGCGTTAATTCCTTTTTTATCTGATACTAGTTACACGGTTTGTACCGCAAAACACAGAGTTACAAAAAATGTGTTTTTCTTCGATTGGCAGCAAATATTAATTTTGCTGACACATATCAATCAGCAAAGTATTACTTTTCCTGCCTAGGCAGCAAAGTGAGTACTTTGCTGCCTAGGCAGCAAAGTGGTTACTTTGCTGATTGATATGTATCAGTAAAATCAATAATCCATAAATCGTTTATAATTTCCTCCATATTTCATCCGAGACTTCTCCGGCAACAAATTCAACTCTATATTTTTTGCCACCTCCCTCATTTCTGGAGGTGTAAGTACTTCCAGGTCGCTATCACTGTCCATTATATAATAATTTGAATAGTCCGATATTTTTTCGCACAACTGTCAGAAATTTCATGAATTGTCAAACTATAGTTATATTATGGACATTTCCATAGCAATCAACCATTCCAACAACTGCGATTTGTATCAAATTTTATTTTAATTGAACATTACAAGAAAAAAAAAGAGATAATATACAGGGTGTTTCATAATTGAATGCTGATCCTAAAGGGCGATAATCCTTGGATGATTTTAAGGAAAATTCGTCATGTGAACATAGGTCCGTAACAGCTTCGTTTCTGGGATACAGGATGTTGAAATTTAACAAAAAAATCAGTTATTCTCCAATATCTCTGAAACCACTCTGGCTTTTTTCTTCAATTTCGGTACATGCCAAGTATGAATAGAAATACGTTCTTTCCATAATGAAGGATTTCTTAATTCCCATCAGTGGCGTCCCTGTTAACATACCCTGTCATATTTTTCATCAAAATAATAATACGCCACTGTCTTTTTTCCAAATAAATATTATTTTTGTAATTATCCTTTATCTTCTCATAAAAATGGCCCCCTGTCTTTTTTTCGTCCGGCGAACGGTTTTTGAGTTAGAAAATAAAATGCATTAATTTGCTTGTCCCTATTCGATTTTTACTCTTAGTCATAATTTCACAATTGTGGTAACCAAAAGATCTAAGCAATATTTTTATAATTTTATGGTAACTATTTTTAAGTAATTGTAATGAAGTAAAAAGCCAGAGCGGTTTCAGAGATATCGGGGAATAACTGATTTTTTTGTTAAATTTCAACATCCTGTATCTCAGAAACGAAGCTGTTACAGACCTATGTTCACATAAAGAATTTTTTTTAAAATCATTCAAGGATTATCGCCCTTAAGGATCAGCATTCAATTATGAAACACCCTGTATATCATTATGAACAATCGGAGAAAAAATTATATGTTCAACTCGGCAGCAAAGTAGATTGACTGCCTTAGCTGGATTCCTAGCCTCGCTACGCTCGGCTATAAATTCAGCCTCGGCAGTCAATCTACTACTTTGCTGCCTAGTTAAACAAATAACTATTCCTAATGAGTTACATGCAATATTTTTTCCAATTTTGATGGAAAATTTCGCTAGAACAGATTTACTGTTCTGCATGAGTTCAAATCGATTATGTACAATATTTAGTAGGCAAGTAGGTCAATTTAATCAACATGTTTCGGGGACATGCTTCGAAACATATCCCCGTAAGTTTGCTTACAATGAATTATAGTTTTGGTGAAGTAGGCTTTATGAATTTCGCCCAGTTCTATTGCTTTCTCTCCACTGTAATATGGATCGCCTCAAATGGTTAACAAAGGTGATCAATAGCATGTATAAATATTTAATAATCCAATAGGTTATTTTCTTCATTACTTTTTAGAGATAAAAATAACAATGCCACATCAGAAGTGCGAAACACGAAAATTTTTCGAGGAAAAACAAAAATGTTGGATCATGTATTTTAATTTTTTCAATTTGCTTAGATAGTCATCCTTCTAGAAGATGTAACAATACATTATATGTTTCTACAAGACAGTTTTGATGAAATGAATTAATGATTAGAATAAATTGAAGTAAATATAAGTGTTATCAACAATTTACCCATTTCATTAAAATTATTGCCTTGCAGGAATGTTAATCGTATCATGTATTTGGTATAGATGTAACAATACATGATGCGTTTCTACAAGGCAGTTTTGATGAAATGAATGAACATAATAAATTGAAGGAAATATCAGTATTACCCACAATTTACCCATTTCATTGAAATCGCCTTGCAGGAATGTTACATCATGTATTTGATATAGAAAGAAAGCTTACTGCGTTTCCAACCAATTCTAACTCAACAAAATTAGAGATGGCCCGGCATTTTCATTAATCGTGCCCGGGCGTTTTACTGAGCAAATCCACCTTATTTTTTAGTGTTCTATCTACCTTAGCAAGGGGCCTCTTTTTCTGAAACACCTCAATATACAGGGTTACTGGTAATTCGATACATTCCTTTGGAGATGTGATAGGGGAAGTGGTAAGGAGTGATTTTAACCCTAATATGCATTATTCAAAAGTTGATAGTTTATGAGATATTGAAATTTTTTTGTTTTTCTCCAAAAGGTAGACTTCAAGGGTTTGAAAGATAGTTTCCCGAAAATCTGCTGTACATTTTTTCAACCTCTCAACTAAGATACATGATCAACACTATTATCTTATGTTGAGAATGAAAAAAATCCAGAAATAATTCAGATTATAGATAAATTGTCGTTTTTTTGTTTGTGGATTGTGGATTTTAACACTTTCTAGCGGGTAATTTTAGTGAAATCTCTAAGTAACATTTGTCAAAAATTTGATAAAACTGCCTTAAGACAATTGCTTAGTACCTGGGTACAAATGATGATAAAGGTGCTTGATACAAGTTTGTTATTTCAAATGAATATTAAAAACGTACTTGAAAAACTTCTAATAGTATTTATTTTTTACAAATCCCGAGACCTTTATTACGAATAATGTTCGGCAGCGTCTTTTACCGTATTTGTTATTCTAGTTGTCAAATTATTTTGTATGTGCAGGGCAGCGTAGATTATTCTTTGTATGAGCTCTTCCTAGGTATTCACTGGGGTTCCAACTAGCGCGAATTAGCGCTTCCATATGACCCCACACCTAATAATAAAGGGGGGTTATGTCAGGTATTCGCGCTGGCCAACCCATTGGACCTGACGTTCCAATAAAAACGTTCATCCATGAACTGTCTAACGATCAGCCGATAATGAGCTGGACAACCGTCTACCGTCTTGTTGGAATATCATCAAAAAGCCCCTGTAGATCATGCCGTAGAAAATATTCATACATTTCCCTGTTCGAATGGTCTAGGAAAAAATGTGGTCCTATTAAATAACTGTCAATGAGTACCATCCACACATTAAAAAAAAACTTCCGTTTGAAACTAGTTTCCCTTAAACAGGGGCTTCCTTCGGCCCAATAATGGAGGTTATGAAAATTTGTTATGCCATTTGGATACCTCGAGCAAATAAACGAAAATAAAAACTGCTGTATCGCCAAAAATCAATACTGATATGCATTTTTCAAGTATCTTTTTTACTATTCGTTTAAAATAACCAGTCCGTATCAAGCACTTTTAGTTTCAATTGTACCCAGTAAGATAGCTATTGCCTTAAGGAAGTTTTAATTTTTTTTTGACAAATGTGGCTTGGAGATATTTTTAAAAATAACCGCTAGAATGTGTTAAAATCCACAATTCACAAACAAAAATACGACTTTGTATTTATTATTCATCTATAATCTAAATTATTTTTGGATTTTTCTCATTCCAAACATATGAGCATAGTGTTGATAATGTATTCCAGTTGAATGGTTGAAAATATGTACAGCAGATTTTCAGAAAACTAACTTTCAAACCCTCAGTCTTCCTTTTGGAGAAAAACAGAAAAATTTCAATATCTAAGGAACTGTTAACTATTGCATAATGCATATTGAGGTTAAATCCACACCTCACCACCTCCCCTATCACACCTTCAAAGGAATGTATCAAATTACCAATAACCCTGTATAAACAAATGTTTCAAAATTGAGTAATCTTTCTTGAAAATCTGTAATAACACTCGAGGAGGAAGTTGTCCCTTCGCACGCCTATTTGCGTTCAAATACCTTCTCTTTTTCTTTATCCTTCTCTTTTCTCCTCTCTCCTTTACCGCTCAAAGAGTTGTTCCTTTTCCTCTCCCTATCTCGCTCCCGATCCCTATCCCTGTCTTTATCCTTCCAGTCCTTGTCTTTGCTTTTATAATTCTGTTTTTCGTCCGACCACTTGGGAGGAGGGGCCAGACCAGCTGGCGACCTGTCCCAGCTGTCCGCGGTCCACTGGGGCGTCCCTATCGACCACACCGATGGCGGGGCCCCAATCGGATGGTAAGTGGGGGTGGCGAAGGGAAATTGGTTGGGCATCGGCGGCATGCCGTGAGTGTGGTAGTCGAAGCTGGAAAGTAAGGAATTTCATTGAACAGGGTGTTATTCAAGTATGTGGAGCGATTTTTTTCGTGGATCTAAGATGAACAATTTCTATAAACATAGTTCCATAAATGGATAGTCTTCAAAATACAGTGTCAAACTTTTTTGAAAAATGTTTTTTCACAAATCTAGTTATGGCTCAATTAGTCCCTTACTATATATATGGAATAATATACTGGGTGTCCCTATTCAAATTAAAAAGTTTAGGTGCAGTTCGGTGTGATCCTGTATACCTACGATTCATTCAATAGCATATTTCGAGTGAGCATCATCAAATATACTGGGTGACCGAATTTCAAGTCATTCGATCGCGCGGTTGATTTTTTACAGTGGGGGGACATTTTAGCTGGGGCACGGTGTATATAGCTTTATTCAAGGAATTGTACAGGGTGGCTGGAAATAGAGCATCATCATTGAGATTTCGTAAGCCGTAAGAGATACAGGATCGGTTGAATTATGGCAAAGTTGCGAAATTTTCAGCCAACATATATGCCAATGCAGTTTTGAAACTTTAGAAAGTTCGATTACTTTCGGAAATATCCGAAAAAATAATCCTAAAACCATTGAAAAGGAATAATTCTGATATACAGGGTGTCCCTAAAAAGTCTGTACGAAATCTCAGCATCTTACCAAGCATATTGCCTTATTTAACACATATTTTCAATTGTTGTTTGACTGATAGCTATTTTCCACTGAATTGGAGAGTTGCTTGTATAGTTCCATTGCCTAAAGTGAATAGCCTGAAAGATATTTCTGATTTGAGGCCAATAAGTAAGCTATTTGTATTGTCCAAGGTTTTGGAAAAATTGATATATTTGCAAATGGTAGTTTTTATCAGAAAATAAGTTATTTCCAGAAAATCAATATGGTTTTAGGAGTGCTCACAGTACAGTTACTGCATTGACCAAAATGTTGGATGATATCATACGAGCAATAGATGAGGGAAAAATTACAACACTAGTTCTATTAGACTATAGTAAGGCGTTTGACACTCTAGGCAGAGAACTCCTTTTGGCTAAAATGAACTATTATGGCTTTTCTAATAGGATAGTCAAACTATTACGGAGCTATCTTTCTCATAGAAGCCACTATGTGTTGATTGACAATGTGCAGTCCAGCTCTAGATCAGTTGATGAAGGTGTACCGCAGGGCTCAATACTCGGACCTCTTCTATTTTCAATATATACCATGGATCTCAATAGGAATTCTGTAAATTGTTCGATTGATCAGTTTGCTGACGACATCCAAGTTTATAAAAGTTTTCTTACTGATGAGTTGAATACTGCATGTTTAGATATGAATCAAACTTTGGAGAACATAGTTGCATACTCTAATAAGCATGGGCTGAAGATTCACCCAAAGAAGACCAAAGCTATATGTTTTGGTAATGTATCAGTAGAGGTGAAATCTCATTTGAAAATTGAAATTGCCACTGTTAGAGTAGAGCCCTGTGATGTAGTGAAAAGTCTAGGAATTCTTATTGATAGTAAGCTGAGATTAAAGGCACAGGTTAAATCTATTGTTAGTAAGTGTTACTCTTCATTGGAGAATCTATATCGCAGTAGATCTTTCATCAATGTACCCTTGAAAAAGCAACTATGTGAATCACTAGTATTGAGTCACACTAATTATGCTGATTTTGTATATGGTCCATGTTTGGATGCAGTTTCATCAGCGAGAATTCAAAGAATCCAGAATTCCTGTATCAGATTCATTTACTCACTCAGAAACAGAGACCACATTTCTCATAAACTTAGGGAATTGGGATGACTCAATATGTTCAATAGGCGTAAAGTGCATAACATTCACTTCGGAAATTCATAATCGTTTCACTAGAAATACAGGTCTTCTCGTGATGCCTATGCATAGAACAGCTTTATATGAGAGATGCGTTTCCTATAATGCAGTTAAAATATACCATTCTCTCCCACAAGGACTCAAGAATAAATCAATGTTTCTCTTCAAAAAGTCAACAAAATTATTTTTCTTTCGCTAATAAACCGTATTTCAGAATAGATAATAATGTTAAACTTATATTTAGTAGATAAGTTAGTTTTATATTTAAGCTACTATGTAGGTAGTTATGTAATTCAGATGTAATATGGTACTCGATTAAGTAGAACAGCTTTGCTGGACTTCGCCGAGGATATTAAAAATAAAACCCCTATTATTATTATTATTATTATTATTTCTGAGGTGAAATGAGCCGATTTGGAGCATGTTACCTCAGTCCGAAATTGCTCCGAGATACGAGAAAGTAAAGTTAAAAAAAATCGAATTTTTCAAAATATGAGAACATTTTTTAACGTATCACCAGGAGCTTTTTGGGATGCGAAACCCGAATACGGACGCCTTTTCACTGTGGCCATCAGAGTGCACTTACCAATTCACTTCTCATGGTTTAGAATAGCCATAACTTTTTTCTCAGTGTAGTTTTTCACTTTTTCTGTTGAGGAAATAACTTAAATTCAAAGGTACACTTGTGAAAATTCGCGACGCTGCACCGGAATATTCAAATTATTTTGAATAAAAAATGTTTGCTGTTATTTTCGTGGTTGTAATCTCGTCAGTGAATGAGCAGTGCAAAAATAGATTTATCAGAACAATTTTTTGAATTGTACATGTCAATTTTTATTTTATAAATTCACCACCCTATATCTCGGAAATTTGGGACAAAGATAAGTTCCTTTGAATCGGTTTATTCTGACATCAGGACCATGTGCCAAGATCTTGTACAGACCTTTTAGGGACACCCTGTATTATGAACATGAAAAACATTTATATATTGGGTGTCCAGAGATGAAACCAACGAAACTCATGGGGTTATGTAGACTGCCAATATGATTGCAAAATGACATAAAGAAATGAATTTCGACAAAAAACTCAATCTGCCATATTAAATGAAAAAACTTCACAAACGATAAAATGTCCACAAAATTCTTAATCACACGACATGTTTCGCTAACACAGTAGCTTCATCATAACTTTTATATATACTACTTTCCCAACCTGAAGGATTAGAATTACCTGTGGAAAGGTAAACCTTCATTTTCGGAAAATAGGCATATCTACATTAAAATACGATGTACCGGATTAACTTGAAAGGGTTGATAGCAAATACATATTATTACCTACTGAGAAAACAAATTCAACAGTGGTGAACTATTGAGGTCTAGTTGATCGTTAAGTGAAATATTAGAATTTTTGACTTTATTGATTTTTAATGATTCAACAATTATTATCATCATGGTTTTCTTCTAATATATGTTTTTCAGTTGATGATCCGAAATAGGTTAGTTATTTTGGTTATTATTTTTGATGGTAGGATAAACTTCTTGAATAGCTTTATTATGGAGATTTTTAGAAAGAATACTGTCTATCAAATCAACGTTGTATTCGTTTTTGACTGCAATCTGTCTCATGATATCAATTTCTTTATTGATATTTAATTCTGAATGAGGGACATGCACTAGCCTGTGTATAATACTATCATATGCTGCAATTTTATGATGATTTTGAATAAATTGGAAATTTCGTAGAGACCTTTTAGGGACACCCTGTACTTACATGAACATGAAAAAGAGTCATTCCGGTCCTGATACGAATGTATTCTTCAGTTTTTTTAGGTTACTAGAGTGATTTATAAAATATTTCTACGAAGTTATCAAAGAGAATAACAACAATTATGTCTTGGTTTCGTAAATATTCACCATATTTCCGTTTCTGATATTTCATCCGATAATTAATGGAAAAAATTAAAATAATAGTGTATTACGGAATGAAATTGTGGCAGGAACTTTCTCAACAATTTCCTATAGTATTTTTTCCGTAGATTCATATTACTTCAGATTTTTTATAATTATTATACAGGGTGAGTTATTCTCACAATAACTCAACATAGGAAAAAATTATATTCCGGTCCTGATATTGATTTAGTTCAGAAGGCTACTTGTTAAAACCTTCGAGGTTAATTCATGTACCAAATTTGAACCTAATTTAATAATCCCTGTATTCAATATGGCAGATTGAATTTTTGTCAAAATCCACAAATCACTCAGAAACCGGTTTTGGACAATTCTATATGGCATTCTGCAATCATATTGGCAGGTCCTATAACTCCATACGTCTTGTCGGTTTTATCTTGGGACACCCTGATTATACAGGGTGATTCAAAATCCTATGTGAATATTTCAGAGACGTATTGTTGGGATCAAAATGAGACATCTTCTTCATACAAACATCTGTCCTAAAATGCACCCCTTCCGAGCTACAGCCACTGTAATTTGGGTAAGAAAAAAAGATTATTCAAAATTGTGACTAAAATAACATATACAATGTTTGAAATTAATAACTCTGACTTTGAATAACATGGTCTTGAGTACTTGAGTGCCATATAGGAATGTAAGAATTCGATTCTCTGCATTTTCTTTTCATACAACTAACCGTTTGCCAGTAAATTGAAAGGAGAAGTCACGACATCGTTTTCGAACGCAATGGGTTGAACGCTTGCATACGGAGGTGATCGTCGAACGCATTTCTACTATTTCAGAGGTGTGATTGCAGTTCTAGAATACTCTTGCACTTGATACTTGATCCAATATTATGACAACAATTTCAGATAATCTTTTATCCAACTCACAGTGGCTGTAGCTTGGAGGGGGCAGGATACATGTTTATATAAAGAAAAAGTCTTATTTTGATCCCAACAATAATAAATAGTAATTATTTCTCAGTATATTCAACAGAAAACAACGAATTGAATTACATCTATGGATCACACACAATAAGAGTTTGAAAATAAAATCTTCTGAAAATGAGAATTAGCATTCTCCTTCAGATGAAAATATATATATTTATATATCATTCTGAATATTACTTTCCTGGCTATTTGCCAAGTTCAACATTGAATTAAATCTGTCAAATATCCAGAAGGAGAATATGATAATAAAATCCTTTTCAATAGTTTCA